TAAACTGGTAATTAGCGAGAAGAGGAAGCGTGGTGCAGAACAACCTGTGAAAGGATGTTTGCATATGATGATTCCAGCGAAGCGGACCCCTAAAGCAACGAGAGAGAAGGTGACAAGTGGATCGGCCAGGTTGACACGGTCCAAAGCAAAGGTTAAAACAAAGTTGTCACCATACTTGACACGAAAGAAAAGCCCGGCACCGCTGAGTACTGTTGTGAAGCTGTGCTTCAAGAACCAAACTATGGAAAAGCTTTGTGGTTTGGACCCTCAGGAACTACAAGCCATCTGTAAGAACGAAGGGGTGGCCTATAATGGCAAGGTGGACACAATTTTCGACATTGCTAGCCACCGTACCCGGAAGGCGTTTGACAAGGAAGAGGAAGTGATCGAGTTGGCAGAAGAAACTGAGCAAGGTGGGGAGGAACTGACAACGGCCGAGGCAGGAGCAAAAGTATGAATAATTGACAATTTATAGGGCTTGGTCATATGGTTGACAAGTTACCGATGCAGTCTGAGTAGTGTTGATACGAGAGCTGAGGAATTGATACAACTATGTGTTCTCCTATTATCGTTAAGAGGTGAGATTAGGTGGGATGGTAAAATTGTGGAGTGTTGGAGGACATTGATTGAAGTGTACGGGGTTGAGTTTCTAAAAATCACGGGGTGTGTATATGTTGCCATCTCACCGTATTGTAAACTGCAATACGTGGGAACAACCAATCGGAATGTCGATATTCGCTCGCGTGAGCACCTAAGTGTACGTCGGAATAAAACTGAATCACATTTCCATAGATGGATTAGCACATTCGAGACTGGGAATTATGTCCTACTGCCGATCGATTATATACGGGAACATGAGTTTCTGGATCTTGAAGCCGTTTATATTAAGGCTTGGTCGCCTTTCCTTAATACAAACGGCCGTAAGACTGGCAAGATCGGTACTAAGACGTGTCGAGGGAGAAAGGAGAGGAACAGGAAACATGGGCAGAATCTATCTGAGGAATGACGACCTTTGCTTCCGATTAGATTTAGAATAGGCCATGACGTGACTTGGTCGTTGAATTTGTGTCAATTGCCAAATAAGTGTGAGGGAGAAGGAGTTCGGCAATTTAAGATCGAGTCTAACGGTGGAAACATATGGTTGTGTGGTTGGAAGAAGGTAACGAAGAGGTTTGGGGAATCGATCGTAAAGACTAACGAGGGCTTGCTCACATTGAAACAGGCCAAGAGCCTGTTCGAAGTGGGCGGCTTAGTTGAGATTGAATACCTCAGGATATGGAAATCCAAAGGTGCATTTCTTAAGCCGATTTTGGTAGGATTCCTAAAGAACCCAAGGAAGCTAGGAGATGTGTATTCTTGGGGGCTGAAGTCAATAATGAGATTATATAATGTCATTAAGGACTTCAGAAAGAAATCGACATGGAAATACTTACGAAGACTGCTGTCAAGGGTGGTTCGAGAGAAGTTCGGATTGAGTATGTCGGCTGATCTGATTGTGCGCGTGAAGTTCGAGGATAGGATTAGACTTCTGGAGTTACGTAAAATTATAAATGATGGGGTGATGAAATGTGATCTACCCACTTGTTTCCAGAAGCGTGTGAGGAGGAAGACTCGAAGTGTCTGGGTTAAAAACCAATCGATCGGTTTTATCCTTCATAACGAACGGGCGTATGCAGCCTGTGAGGTACTTACCTGCACTTGCGCAGGGATGGCCTACCCAAGAGAGGGAGGGCACGTAAGCTTCCGGTTAAGTCAAGGGGAGTTGCACCACAGATTGCTAGCTAATGTCAACTATATACCCCGAGCTGAGATGGAAGACCGCCTGCGTCTACTCATACGTGATGTCTTTGAGGGCTTCACAGGCTGGTACAATATGAGGGGAGAGGTGCCAGTTCCTACCGAGGAAACGCTGAGAGGATGTATGCTGGAGACGGCAGCAAGTAATCGTACAATTACCGTGCCTGATGTGTTGAAGGTAAAAGGTGAGATAGAAGGACTTGTGCTTACACTGTTGGATAGGAACCCGGGAGATACACTCGTAATGTGTCCGGCTGTGTATCACGCCGCAATGATGAACACGTTTGTAAGGAATGTAGGATATCGGGTGATATCATCACCGGCGAATGAGATTTTGAGGGAGATGAAAGAAGAGGTTGATGAGATTGGTTTCAAGAAGTTTGCAGGATGGGACTCAAAAGGAAAATTCGGTGAAGCTTATGTTATTCCGAAGCATAAGGACACTGGACGCTTTCGACCAATCTGCCCGACTTTCAAGGAGCCTATGGTACGAACGGGCAGATCGGTGGCGAAAGCGTTGAATCATTTGTTGTTTTAGCTACCCGCCGATGACCAATTCAACCTGCGAGCAGTGTCGGACCTGGCAAAAAAGTTGCAACGAATCAACGGAAGGGTCGGGAAACTGTCTAGCGAGTGTAATGGGGAGACCAATGCATATGATATTAAAGAAATGTTCAGTTGATTGCCCCACTAGGAGACGTTCGTTTGAAAGGGACGAAGCGGCTGTTCTGTTAGCCTAGTACATCATTGGACAGGGTTTGTATGTTAGACCTTTTCGTCTTACTTCTTTTGTCATGTGGGTTTGAGTGTGCTGGTTTTTTAATTGAGTAGGCTGGGTTTGGATTTGTATATTATCTCTCAATCATTGTTTTTCTATTTTTCGTTTAGTGGTTACGTCACTTCCTATGATCCCGGATTTATGCGAGACTTGTTGGCACCGGTACCTTTCTGGGACTTTGGCCTGGGACACGTCGGTTGGTTTCGGTAACCCCTTTAGTTCCGGTCCTACGGGACCTAATGGTACCGTTATTTTACTTTTCAGAGCCCTCGGTTTGTTTTGAAGCCTAAACTAGGCGGACATAGGGCTGTTTTCGGGACCGGAACTTTTGAAGTTTGTGTAGAGAGTTCTAGAACGATAACAACGTTTCAAGGAAACCCGACTACGAGGTGATTTAAGCCCGTAATGCACTGTTAGTCGACCTCTTGCTCAGGACTGACGGAGCTAGATGTACTCGACCATCCAGAGGGTCGGGTGCGGACGACACGGAAGTGGGATTGGTTGGATAGATAGACATAGACGAAGTGGAGACGTTGGTGGTACCCCCTGATGAAGGCAACGTGGCAGTTGCCGAAACGTGGCGTCGGGGACGCCGACCCTGGGACATGTTGATGTTCTCATTAACTTTTCTTAATGCTTTCATTGACGTGTACGTTGGTTTGACACTGTGTATTTGATTCGCAACTTATGCGAACTGTTGTGACTTGTTTTGATTGGTCACTACACACTTAACCAAGTCAACACGAGTGCTTATCACTCTAGGATTGGTGTTTGTTTTTTTCCTGGCTGTGGGTTTTTCTCTACTCAGACCCGGGTCTCCGTCGTCCCATGGAGCTGCTAGTGACACCCTTCCCCTCTTAGAGTACCCCTTATCTATTAGCCCAGCCCGCTTCAACAGCCCCCCTGTAGTATGACTAACCCATTTTGAATCCCTTAAACCCTATACCCTCTTCGACCTCATGCACATGACCTTTGTGGTCCTCGAAGCCTGAAGTGCAAGCTGCAGGGCTAGCCTTCCGGAGCTTATCAGCTGCATAACAATAGCCCTTGAGTCGCTTTGTTCTCGGGTATCGTTCCATTTTTAAGGGATGTCCCGAAGTACTTGTTTTGTCTTTGCTGAGTGTCCAGTTTTTTTTTTTCCTTTTTTCTTTTTTTCTTTTGTCTTTTGCTGGGTGTCCAAGTTGTGTCATTTTTGTTTCTCTTCCCACCCCTCGGTTATGCTTCGTTTTTTTGTTTTTTTTTTTTTTTTTTTTTTTTTTTTTTTTTTTTTGTGGTCCGATGGACCACTGATCAGATATTAAACTGATCAAAACAGTTACTACACTTGATCTTAGCCAAAAGGTCGAGAAAGGTATTTCGTTTAATTATGGATGGGAACCAGGCCCATGCCATGGCCGAAGTCAGTTAAAATTGAGAGAAGAGACATGCAGGGCCTCGCCACACCAATGCCGAAAGTGGAGTTTTCAATCTTTGCCACACAGACTGTCGAAGAAAAAATGTCGAAAACACTTCCACATTTGTCAGAGAAGTGGGTTCGACATGTCTGTGGAAAGGCCCACCTGCAGCGGGTTGAGTTTCAACATCTCGGAAGGGACATTGTGAAGGATGTGCAGATTTCAACACCTGTCAGGGTCGGGGTACTGACACTGCCTCAACATTCGGTGTCTTCTTTTTTCTTTTTTTTTCTTTTTCAAAGTTTTTTACTTTTCCTGGGTGACTGGGGGGCTCGTTCGACACTCCTCGGGCGCGTAAAATCCCCGAGGAAATCATCGTTCCACCTATCCTCGGGAAACAAAACGAAAAAAAAATGTGAAAACATTTCCTCGGGGTTTCCTCGGGGATTCCTCGGGCTACAGCCATTTCGACGCGTTCCCCAAGGGACCTCCCGAGGTCCCTTGGAGGTCGAGCGTCCGGAAGAATCGGAGCGTCGACGACAACTCTCTTGACGACAATTTTCGACGCGGCTGGTCCATTGCTGTTCCTGGCGGCCCGTGGACAGACATCTCCGGTCGGCAACGGTCGGCGTCATGGAATACTCCGCCAACGGTCCCTTCGGCGGCCTGTCGTCCTTCACGACGTCGGAAAGGAGCTGCCTTGCGTTGCCGCCCTTCGACACTGGTGGGAAAGCGGCCAACGGTCGGCAGATTCGAATACTTCAGGCTGCCCCCGCTTTCCCGATCGCGTTGTGTCTTCCGCGACGGAGCACGTTACCCACCATTTGTCGTTAGCTGCAATCGGCCGTTTTCGGCAGAGTGACCGTCGCCGTTTCCTGTACGTCCATGACTGTCTTGCAGGTGCTCGCGTCGTCCACGTGCGTTTCATGGCCGAAGTCTTTCGGAGGCTGCCATTGCTGGTGCTGGTCGTCCTCCTGCTTCTCTTCGTAGTGCTCTTCCACGTCTGTGTCATCGGCATCGTTCCGCGACGTGGGCGCAAGCGACAGTGTGCAAAGAGGGACGTCAGTATGGATGGGTGGCAGGCGGTTTGCAGGTCTGCAGGGGGTGAGGGTGGTGGCCAACGGGCCGGGCAGAGCCCGTCTAGAGGTTCAAGGGCAGTGGAGCGGTCGGAGTACGCGCACCTGCCACCGCACTTGCAGCCTTTGCCGGACACATCGGACGAGGAGGAGGACCACAGACATTCACGTGCCGTGCCGCTGGGAAGCGGGTCTACGAAGGAGTGGAAGGCCACAGAGCTTTGTGGAGGCCACGAGCCCAGTTGCAGGCAGTCGTACACCCAGCTCCTCCGGCAGGGCCTGAGCGGCGACAAAGGAGATGCAGGCGTGAATCTGACGTTCGGTCTGTGCAGTGGGAGGTCGTCGTCTTTGACACGGACAGTGCTAGTCGACAACCATCTCGATGACGACGGCGGCCAGGTGACGGCTGTTGCACGACCGTCGAAGTCTCCATCGTCCACGGTCCGCGTGGCATCGGGGACCAACAGGGATCCTCGTACGCAGCAATACAGGGCGCCGTCTACTTCAAGGGGTGCCTCTGCTCGGCCGTCGTGGATGTTGTCCCCGTCTCCCCTGTCCGACAATTCGAGTGCGGCTCGCAATCGGGGGGGGGGGGCGGGGAGCACGATTGAGGGATCGAGGAAAGAGGTGACGCACGCGACGAGAGGGAGGTGTGGGAAGAACAGCGACGGATGCTCCATCCGCGACGACAAGAATCCATAACACGGGGCGTACAACGACTGCGAGTGCGGGACAACGAAAACGACGACGACGCACCTGATGTTGGCGGCAACGATCGGGACTTGAACGACGACGACTGCGGGGGTGGGGAGGACGACGCAGGGCAAGTGTCGCCATCCAAGCAAAGCAGCATGGGGGTGAAGGGCGGAAGGGCGAAGGAGTCTGCTCGCAACGGTCGGCGGGGGAAGAAGGCGATGGGGAAGGGGAGCGACGTCGAAGCTGACGGTGATGCAGAAGGCGGTCGTCTTTTTTGGTCCGTCGACGACATGGTGGCCCTGATACGGGCTAAACGTGACCACGACGCGCATCTGCAGGGAATGGGCACCACGTACGCTCGTATGAAGCCGCGAGAATGGAAGTGGTTGGATGTGGAGCAAAGGCTGAAGAAGGTGGGCGTGGAGAGGGAGGCAGAACGGTGCGGGAAGAAGTGGGACAATTTGATGCAGCAATTCAAGAAGGTGCACCACTTCCAAGGCTTGTCCGAAAACAGGACTTCTTCCAGTTCACAGGGAAGGAGCGGTTGTCGAAGGGCTTCAGTTTCAACATGGATCGTGCGGTTTACGACGAGATCCTGGGGTCGACTGCCAAGAGCCACACCATTAACCCCAAGAACGTCGCAGACACTGGTGCTTCGGGGGGTATGCGTCTGCCGTCGGCGAGTTCTGCTGATCCGGAGTCTGTCGGGGATCGGGACGCTGCTGTAGGGCTGGACGACGATGACGACGGGTCGACCAAAGGTTCTTCTCAGACGACGGGAGGCCCTGCTGGCTTCGGCAAGAGGAAGAGCACGAGGCAGCAAACTTTCGATGCTCTGTCGGAATGCATGGACAAGCACGGGGCTCTGGTGGCGTCGACGATGGAAAGCAACAACAATTGGCAGTGTTCAATCCAAATCCGGCAGTGCGAGGCATTGGAAGCGGAGGTGGAGGTGCAAAAGAAACACTACGCTGCGTCCGACGAAGTTAGCAAATTGATGTGCCACGCTCTGCTTGAGATAGTGAAGGCCATCCGCGAGCGTTAGCCGCTGTGTCTGCTCGTGTCTGCCTGGTCGAGTCCATCGTTATCACAGTGCAATAATGACTGCAACGGCCTTGTCCCTCTGCCCCTCGCCTCGTCGTTTAGGACTTGACGTATCCCGAATGGCTTGCTGGCATTGGTAGTGTGTGGTCGTCCGGACAGGTAGATGAGTCCCCCGTTTCAATTCACGTCTGTCGACATGTGTCCTTCGCTTATTTTGGCGATTTTTTTTTTTCCTTTTTTTTAGGCTCCAATAACTTTTCATAGAGCTTGTGTGTTGCGACATATGTATCCAAACTCATTTTCGGATTTGCCACGGGCTGCTGTCCTACGCCGGGACGGACAATTTCGTCATGTTTGATTTTGCAACAGATCGGAAGAAGTGGATCGACCACTTCCCTTTTTTATATTTGAAGCGGGTCTGTGTTTCATCTCTCCCTTTCCATCTCTCTCTCTCTCTCTCTCTCTCTCTCTCTCTCTCTCTCTCTCTCTCTCTCTCTCTCTCTCTCTGTGGGTGTGTGTGTGTGTGTGTGTGTGTGCGTGTGTGTGTCGTGGCAGTCACTCTCTTGCGGTAGTGATTGAGAGGTGTACCAGAAGTAGATAAAGGTTTTGTCTTGAATGCCGTCCAATTCTGGAGTGTTGTTGTTGATGTCGTGAACAGGCAAAAAAGTCGTTGATGTGCATGACATGATCCCTTGGAGATTGGAACTTGTCGTCTGAATGCGGATGTCCATTCATGGTAGTTGGAGACTTGCAAATGCGGATGTTTGCTGGTATCCTGTTTTGTGCTGTTATCCAACCGGGGGTGTGTTTGCGGTTGCCAAACGTCCGGGCGGCGGTAGGGGGACGTCGCCGGGACGAAAGTGGCTGTCCACAAGTCCCCCACCATTCACCAACCCGCAAACACTCTCCGCCCTCCTTTTTTTTTTTTTTTTGTTCGATGGGGGGTGGTTGGCGGTCGAATAGTTTGAGGGGAGGGCGGGTTATGAGGGGTGGAGGGCAAGTGAGTCTCCCACGAGTGCTCAATCCTCCAGGTAGCTAAGATGTCAGGCGGGAGGTTGGGTGGCCGTTGATGGCGACTGCTTTGGGGGCTGCCTTCTGGGCGAGGGGTTCCTTTGTAGGTGCGATTGACGAAAGGTGGCCACGATATGTGCGGCGTGGTCGACGTCCCCCAATATTGTGCCCCGCAACATTTCACCTTTCGTTTCCGCGCCCGAGACAAGGCCCGTGGTAGAATGATTCGGAACGTTGGGGGATGAAGTCGTCGTTTTGCAGTCGTGAAGGGTGTCCAGTCGTCGCCCTCCACCACGCAGGGGACGTGTTTTTATAAGCTTGGTGGGGGTGCTCTTCCGTCTTTGTCGACTTCGACGTCGTGCTCTATTCCCCTATCATCGCCGCTCTTCTCAGCGGTGATACGGGCCGTGACTCCACCCACCATCCTTGCGTGTCGTGGAGGGTGTGTCGCACGTCATGGCATCCCGAGGTTCTGGATGCGGGAGGTCTGCCGGGAAACAGGCGGTCGACGCGTCTCTCTGGGATAAAAGGGGCCGCCACGTGGCGAACAAACTGAGGAATCTCGTCCAATGGCGATACACACAGACGCGGAAGTCTGGGTGGCGGAGGGGGACGATTCACACGTGGAAAGCGACTTCGCCGAATCGGAGGAAATCCCAATGAAGCGTAAGTCCTCCAGAAGGCAGACTGGAGCCCTCCGAATCGATGACGTCGGCAAGAGGCGTTGCACAGGGAACCGCGGGCCGATTGAACAAGACGCCAATGTCGCCGCTCGTCCGGCGACGGGCCGAGCCGGGGGGAGTGCCGCCACGCAGCAGAACCGTGCGCCTTTGCCACGTGTCAACGAACCCCCGACCGCGCAAGAGGTGTTCGTCCGCGGCTGAACGCCATCAACCCCGCGACAAACGACGGCCATAGAAGTCGCCGTCGCCGCACAAGGCATTGCTCAGGGGATCGCCAGCCGATCTCCTGCGCTTGACGATCGCGGGGCGTCGACGGTGGTTGCGGTGCGCGCTGCTGAAGTGCCAAAGGCAGGCGCCGCAACGGCGGGTGGTGCGTCCCAGGCTGGTGAAGGGGGGAGGTCAGGCGGGGCCGCAACTGTGGGGGCTTCACATGCGTTGGAAGGAGCCAGGCAGCTGGGGGGAATGCTGGCGAAGGGAGCAGGGCAGGCGCCGTCGCTGGAGTCGGGTAGGACGATGAAGCGCTGGCGAACAGGGTGCACCAGCGGAGCGCGCGTGAAGGGATCGACGCGGCGTCCAAACTGTGGGTGGACGACATTCATTTCTGAAACGAGACGGAGGGAAACGCCATTGTCAAGCTTATGCAGGAAGCGCGGCTGTATCTTGTGGCGGTGGCGCGGGGTGTTCAGCCTCCTGCGATTCGACGCAGCATCGTCCTGCCACACACCACCATCCCGCAGCACAAAATCGACGACAAATCGGAGTTCAGCGTTGCGCAAGACAGGGCGCTGAATGTGCAGACCATCGCTCTGCGGGTGATCCACGGGTGGGTGTTCAAGTCCGCGAGCAGGCAACGGGGTTACCACGTTGCGTACATGTACACGCTGAACCATGCGGCGACTGACATCGCGCGCGCAATCTGGATGGGGGAAGACTGGCGTGTGTGTGTGAGCCCCATGGTTTTCCACACTACGCTTGACATGGACATGAAGCTGCCACTGTGGTTCGTCGGCGCTTACATCGAAGACAGGCACGAGGACGACGAGCTGGCGGTGTATCAGGAAGCGAGCGACCAGAGACTGGTGGGTGCGTTCACGAGCGCCGTGAGCACGACGGAGGGAGTCGACGACGGTCGGGTGTCGCATGAGAGGCTGAAGCGCGTAGCCGAGGCGATGCGGGTAATGCTCGCCGCGACGATGTGGCTTATGCGGATGGGCGGTGACGATCGTCGCGCCCATTACGACGCGTGGGTATTCGTCCAGCTGACGGCGAAACCCACATTAATCACATCCATGCATCGCTCGTTCGACGCGCGTCGCCACATCGTGCAGGCCGCAACTGCCAGCACGGACAAGCTGGCGAAACCCCTGATCGCCTTGCTGGCCCCTCCAGTGTACATCCCGGACTGGGCGTCAATCGGCGTGAAATTCTCGCACGACGCCACTTTGTCTTCCCCAATGGAGGCTCAAAAGCTCGATTGGTTGGGCAAAGGGCCACCGGAAGACGGAGATGACGCCGCTGTCAACGACGATATGAGCGAGGGGGGTTCATGATGCCTTTGGGTGCACAGGGACAGGTTTGATGAGGTGGGTGCATGTGTGCACTTTCGTGTAGAATTAGAACAGGGTGTGCGCCAAGGTTTGCTGCTAGTGCGGACGACGTCGGTGGTCATTAGGGTTGGACGTTTCTATGTTCGGTGTCACAACAGCAAGCGCATTCGGGCTGGGGGTTTCTTTTGGACTTTTGTTTTGATTAACATGTTCATCCTTCAGTTAGGAGCTTTTTTGTTTTTCTTCGGTTCTGTACATGCGAGCAATAAGGGTGGCAATGATTTTTTGTTCTTCGCGCCTGCGTGGTCCACTTTGCAGCTATCATGATCCGTTGGCGTACACATTCATAATGGGGTTGTTTGTTTTCGAAGATTGAATGCTTGGAAAAAGTGCTAACCGACGTTTGTCCACACACATCATCACGCATGTTGGAAGTGAATGTGGCATGACAAACAACAGACAACACCGTCCTGCAATTGTGTGTATGTCGTTGTTGGTGAAGAAGAAAGATAAGCTGCACACCATCCACGCCGCAGACAATAAGGAACATGGCAGATCGCTTTGCGTGAGAACATGAAAAGAGGACAACGATAAAAAAAAAAAAAAAAAAAACGTCAAAAAAAAAAAAAAAAAAAAAAAAAAAAAAAAAAAAAAAAAAAAAAAAAAAAAAACAAAAAACAAAAAAAAACAACACGTCCGTGGAGACAAAGCGTGAAAAACGAAACGGGTCATTAATCAATTTCAGTGAAAAGATCAACCAAAACACAACAATAAAACCAACGATTGACACGATAACCCTGCCACCCTCACACGTCGCCGTAGCGACAGCGCACTACACAACAACCACTTGTCTGCACGTGGACGCTTCTCACATCGCCCCTCCTCGCCTATGTCTTCGACTGCGCAAACGCAGTCCGCCCCCGGCGCAGCCACACACCCGACAACGCTCGGATCCTAACACAACGAAATAAACTGCCGACACACGCCGCCGCGTGCCGGACAACAAAACTATGATGCCCACCACCGCCACACTACTCGCGAGATCCGACCGATGGACGACAAACACAACGGCGACAACTCGTTGCACGACATGGAGCACCCCGCATCTTCTGCCGCGATTTCTGCCTTCCACCCCGCGGGACACGGCCGCGTTTAATCGCTTGAGCCACGCCATCAAGGCCGATCCCTCCGCTCGCCTCGCCGTCTTCACTATGCCGCCATTTGCTCAGCTAGTGTCACGTAGAATGAGGGCATCCCCTGTGGAGGACTCCATGCACATCTGCCTCACAGGACGATCCATCCCAAGATCCACCCTGCATCGAACACCATCCGGCCTGACCTCCCAGAGCAGATTGTCGTCGAACGGGATGCCCGCGTCGATGAGTATGTTGTGGAGAATGCAGACGGCGACGAACTGCTGCAGCAACGTCTCCATATTAATCTTGTGGGATCGAAGGAACAACCTCCACATCCCCTTCAGTCTGCCAAAAGCCCTCTCCACTGCGCCCCTCGCCATCTTCTGCTTGTTATCGAAGCGCATCTCCACAGGGTTTTGGGATACACCGCCGTAAGGGATGACAACCCATTCGGAGGGCGGGTACCCGTTGTCCCCCAGCAGGTATTCATCCATTCGCACACCGAAAGGCAGCATGACAGGTGGGCCGGTGAAAAGCTCTCCCGCCTCGGCGCGTGCCCATAAACTGGACAGATGGACGATCCTGACGTCGTGGCAACTTCCCGGGTAACCGACGAACACATCCAGCATGCGCAAGTTCAAATCCATGACGACCTGTGCCTGCACGGAGAAACGTCGTTTCCTATCGTAGTAGTCCTCCCCGGGGCAATTCGCAGGCTTGTCGATGAAGATGTGGGTGCAGTCGATGCACCCATGGCAGTTGGGGAAACCCTTGTCAGCGAAAGCGCGCAAGACGACCGCCTTCTACAGACCCGTCGGCCACGAGATCTTGTCAGGGAATGCACTGAGCAACTCCCCAGTCACATCCCGCACCGCCACCAACCCGGAAGATCTGCCAATGCCAAAGTTGCATGTCCCGCTCTCGTATGTCTCCCCCGACGCCCACCTGTACAAAGCGTAGGCGACAATCTGGTCTGGCTGGAGGGGCTCCCTGTAGAAAGTGACACGTAGCTCAAGGAAGGGAGACAAAGCTTCCGTTATCTGTCGGAATACACGTGGCGACATTCGTAGCTTCTCCCTGAAGTAGTCCGCCATCGCGTCGTCGCATAGCCAGAGATCCTCCCACATGCCGCCTGTACGTCGCTTCATCCACCATCTGGGCGTCGCTCTGGGGAACGCTCCACACCCCATGGCACAGCACATCTGCAGCACGGCGTCGCAAATGGCAGCGCTGTCGTCGCCCCCCACAGACGGCGACTGCAGCGTCCATTTCCGCCGCGCGCGAATGGCCGCTCTCATCCTCCCCTCGCCCCTCTCCAATTGGCACCGGAAGAGGACGACGCTCACGGCCGCTGCCACCGAAGTCCTCTCCGCCTTCGATAGCGCATGACGCATGTCCATCCCCTCCGACGCCATCGCCGTAAACGTTACCGAGGATCCGCCCGTCGCGAAGTACAGAAGACCGCAGACCACCAATCAACAGCGAGGATCCGCACGTCCAACCCCCCCCGTCGCCCGTCGCGGAGTGCAGAAGACGCCAGAGCGCGACGCGGGCCGCAAAACAGCGCTGCCAGCAGTGAAGACGACAGTGCTCAGCGCAGCCGGCGATGGAAATCCACGTTCCCGAAAGCGGGAGGACAAACGCGATCGTGACACGCTGTCTCCACTGCTTCCAACACGTACATGTACGTTCCGCGTGTCGTCAGAAGCGCGCCGCCGCCGAGATCCGAAACGGCCACCGCTGAACAACTTCGCCGCCGTCACCCGCAAGGGACGCCCACGCTTGTACACGCTTGTTCTCAAAAATTCGAATTCAAATTTGGAACTGGGACACCGCGCCTTTTCCGTGCCATTTTTTTTTTCCCGACGCAGAGCCCGGTCATGCACTCCGCCAGCACAGGACCACCCACACCCACACGGACATGCAGGATGGACCAAACGCCGACCACCCCCCGCGTCCACTCGTCGATATATGAAACTGGCCGCGGGACGCCTCGAGGAATCGTCCTCGGGGAACATTTCCGAGGATGAGTGGAACGAAGGCGGGATTTTCCTCCGGCGACTCCAAGGAATCATCCTCAGGGCCCGAGGATGCCCCGAGGAGTGTAGAACGAGCCCCTGGGTCTTTGACATACGGTGTGGCGAAGGCGGCCTTTGTGTCGAAACCGTGAGTGTCAAAAATGGTCTGACAGTTGGCAAATATTTCACGGTTTCGACACTGGTGTGGCGAGGCCCATAGGCCCTTGCCACCGTACTCCCGACTTGGAGGCTCGCCGCACAGGCTGTCGAAAATCAGGTTTCCAACAATTTTGCATCGCCACTCAGACTTTCGAAGAATTGTGGCTCAAAAAAAATTGAACAGGTGTCAGAATGGTACGCTTGACAGCCACACTCCCGCATTTGTTCCCTCCCGCCTGCAGGAGACAGAAATTCGAAAGTGCCCCACCTGCCTTTCAAGAATTGCGTTCGAATTTGCATTGTCAGGGACTGTTCCGTGACGGCCGTGCCCTGTGGAAAGGCGGAGTCCATTTGGCCATGACCAAAAACCTTGCCCCTCAACAGCCTGTGTGGCGAAGGGGGGGTAAACTGTCGACCGCCAACTTCCAATTTTTTTCTGACAGCTGTTGAAACTCGAAAGAGTTTCGACAGCCTCTGTGGCGAGCCTCTTGGCCATTTTCGGGAGTGGAGCGTCGCCACACCAGTTCCCAAGTTCAACCTGTCAGATTGAATTCGGGAGCTGTCAGAATGTGGCTCCCGAGAGCACTCCCGAAATTGCTTGAGCCTCCTGCCTGTAAAAGGCCATTTTTGGGAGACCTCTCGAGGAGGCCTGCGTTTCGACCGGAGAAACTCGTGTGCAGACAAGCATTCTCCTCCCAGTGTTCGTTGCCACATGATGGACAGTGCCGGACAGTCTCTGTCTGAAGTGCGCCTCTTGGCCTCCAAATTGGAGGGCGCCCCAAGTCGGGAGTGCAATGTGGCGAAGCGCAATCCCGAATGGATTTTCGCATCTTCTGACATTCGGGAGTACTCCCAAATTTTTTCGCCAAGTCGGGAGTAGTGTGGCGAGGCCCATATACAGCTGTTCCCAGATGAGGAGAAGACAGCTTTGAAAAATAAAATCCGACAACCTTTTTTTCTTTTTCTTTTTTTTTTTAAACAGAGGCTCCGCCTATTTGTGGGGAGCAGCAACTGCCGAAAACCGGGTCCAGCATCCCATTTACAAGGAATTCACCCTGCTAAAGACAAAACAAACGAAAAACACAACTTGGGTACCCAGCTAAAGACAAAACAAACCAAACGAGGTGAAAAAATACAAGGGGACCCAGCAAAAGACAAAACAACCAAACAAACAAACGAGAAAACTCAGACACCCAGAAAAAGACAAAACAAACAAAAAAACACAACTCGGACACCCAGGCAAAGACAAAAAAAACTAAAAAACACAACTTGAACGCCCAGCAAACAAAAAGAAACAAAAGAACACAACTCAGAAACCCAACAAAAGACAAAGAAACAAAAGAACAAGGGAAAATTGCATCTGTACCCCACTTAAACATGGGCATACCCGCTGTACCCAGTCCCACCACGAATTCGCATCGATACCCCAAGGGCGCTCAATTTTGTATTGTACCAATGTACCCAGCTTTTCTCCTGTGTGAAATTGTAGGTGTACCCAATCCCCCAGGCCCTGGATTCGGAGAACGAAATTATGCTCATGCCCACCAAGTAGACCTTTGTGGCCCAACGGCTGCTGGGTATGAGCATAATTTCAGCCATCCGGGAGCAGGGTATATGAACAATCTGGCCCCTCCTCCTCAAGTCCAGGGTATGCCCATAATTTTTCCTGGTTATGTCCATAATTTGTGCATTCTGGTAGTTGGTTACAATTTGCCATGCCAACCTGGGTCCACCTCGGCCCTGGGCATCATGGTAACTGTGGACCGGACACCGGACACTTCCGGACTGTCTTCCGGTCTAGTGTCTGGACCGGTCCGGACTGTCCGGTGATCCGGAGATCAGCAGACCCGGACAGTCAGGACCGGTGTCAGGGGGTAGAAAACGTCCAGACCAAAAAAAAAAAAAA